CTTCCTTTCCCAAATCTGAGCAGAACCTGTGCCCCTGGTTTTGTCTCCCTGGCAGCAGTGGCTGTGGATGTCACACCCACTCAGCTCTGCCCTCCTACCTGCAGGTGCCCACCCCACATGACGGGACCCCGTTGTGAGGAGCAGGTTGTCAGCCAACAACAGCCTGGACGTAGGTGGCAGGGGGTAGGGTGGGCAGGGCTCCTGGCACCTAGGGCCAGGGGCTTTGACCCTCCTGCTTCCACCAGGCCTTCTGATTCAGTTTCCCACCTCCGTCCAGATATGGCCTCCATCCTGATCCCTCTGCTCTTGCTGCTGCTCCTGCTTCTGGTGGCCGGAGTGCTATTCTGGTACAAGCGGCGAGTCCGAGGGTAAGCCATCCAGAGTCTGGAAAGTTCTGGCCATTGTTTTGCCACCGAGCCTTACTCTCCCACTCTACCCCAGCATCTCTGCCATCTTAGACTCCTTCCTCTCCCCAGGGCTAAGGGCTTCCAGCACCAGCGGATGACCAACGGGGCCATGAATGTGGAGATTGGGAACCCTACCTACAAGATGTACGAAGGCGGAGAGCCTGATGATGTTGGGGGCCTGCTGGATGCCGACTTTGCCCTGGACCCTGACAAGGTGGGCTGGAGGACAGAGGCTGTGGGTGGAGGTAGGGGCAGGGTAGCCTGGCTCACGGAGCCTAGCCCCAGAGCCACACCTGAACCTTCATCGCTCTGCAGCCCACCAACTTCACCAACCCTGTGTATGCCACACTCTACATGGGAGGCCACGGCAGCCGCCACTCACTGGCCAGCACGGATGAGAAGCGAGAGCTCCTGGGCCGGGGCCCTGAGGATGAGATAGGGGACCCCTTGGCATAGGTTTCTGCCCAGTGGACTCCCCCAGAAAGCCCCTGCCAGAGAAGTCCTTCAGTGAGCGCCTCCCTGCCAGCTCTTCCCTGGCCCTGCCGGATGTATAAATGTAAAAATGAAGGAATTACTTTTTATATGTGAGTGAGCAAGCGAGCACAGTATTATCTCTTTCCATTCTCTTCCTTCCTGCCTGCTCCTCAGCACCCCTGCCCGTGCTGCCTTGGGGCAAGGGTGGCAGGGAGGGCTCTGAGGCTCCTGCAGTTTAAAGGTATGAGGGACCCAACCTTCTACCTTCCCACCAAAATGCACCGTAGGGACAGCTGGTGAAACAGCCTTCCTGTCCATACAAAACACTCTCTCAAGGCTCTCCCCTCTCCCCCAGCCCCCAGCTTCCCCCTGCCCTACGTCATGGGGCTAATTCAGGGGAGGTGGGGGGGTTCTCTGATGCTCCTGCCTGGAAGATTTGACTCTGGCTGAGGTAGGAAGAAAAGAATGGAGTTCTTTAGTTCTTTTCAGGGGAGGTTGCCCCAAGCCCCAGCCCCTGCTCTAGGGGGACCTCTATGATGGCCATGCGCAATACCCCTCCCAGACAGGCCCTCCCCTGTCCAGCAGGGCCAGAGACTTTCTTTGGTAACAGTACCCCAGCCTCCCCTCTCCTGGGAGGTCAGATAGGATACGCCAAGGAAGGGCAAGAGGGCAGCCCCGTTTTGGGGACATGAATGTTTTAATAATTTTTGCTGAATTCCTTTACAACTAAATAACACAGATATTGTTATAAATAAAATTGTAAAAAAAAAAAAAAAAAAAAAGCTGCTTGTGTCTGCCTGGGAATGTGACTCCGGGAGCTGGGGCCGCACTTGCCTGATTTAGCCACCAGAGGGAGCTGGACAGTATGACCGTGCCCTTCTGAGACCCTCCCTCTTCATCTTGCTATGACAGGGGACAGGTGTGGTGCTGGACTTGGCAGGAAAGACCTGCTTCTCCTAGCCATGTGACCTTGAGCCGATGACTGCACTTTTCTAGATCTTGTGTTCCCTCTGACTCCAGAACCCTAACAGATCTGTTTTATTGCATTATCACTTCCATTGGCCACCACTACACCTCCTGCCCCAAATCATCTCCCACAATGAGAAATCCCACCAGAAGAAATGAATACATTGGCTTTCGAAGGCTCCCCAGACCTTCAGTTTGGTCCCTTGTGGCTCTCTCTGCCTGCATTGATACCTCACTTCAGGGAGACAGATCAGATGCCCAGAGTAGCACCCTGGATTGGGAGTGGGGGGTGCTGGGAAGGCCAACTTGCCAGGCCCATCAGCCTCCAACAGACTCAGCTCACCAACCATTTAAGACATTCCAGGGCTGACAGAAGGAGCCGCGATCTACTAAAACCCTCAATCAGGAAAGGAAACATAGCTTTAAACAGTCCAGGACTGAGAAGGGGTTAGAACCCCACTCTCCCCACAAAAGCAAATATGAGATGCAAATACTTGGCAATGTGTTATCCACCTCCCAGAGGGGGGCACCATCTTTCATTCCCTCTTGCTCTTTGGTTCAGCTTCCCCAGGATATTCCTCCCTGGCTTCCAATTGCCCTAGGGAAGTTTATGGGTCTAGGCACGTCCAGAAACAAGAGCCCTCCCCTTCCTTCTTGCTCTAAGATCCCATCCCCAACCCCATCCTCCAAGCCAGCTCTGAAATTCACCCTTGCCTTCCGGGCTCCTCAGGACCCCTAAGACCCTAGGGACAGCAGCCCTGCGGGGAAAAGGGGACGTCCTTATTGAGTGCTGAGTGAAAGGTGTGTGCTCCCATCTGGCCACCAGGTGGCACCCACACTCCTGCAGCGCTGCTTATCCTGAAGCCCAGCACAGCCCCCTCCTCAATATACACTAATTATACACCTGCGGGGGACCCCAGCCCAGTTTCTCACTTCCTTCCCTCGGGCTATTTTGCCACACCCTCTCCACCCTCTGCCAGCCAGCTCCGCTCCCTCCCCCCGAGCCAGTCTCCTTGCCACCACCAGCAGCCCCACCCCCTCACCCCCCCTCTGCCAGCCGCGCATCTGGCGCCCCCCCGGGACCCACTGATTCTCTGCCTGTCGCCTCAAGATCCTGGGCAGAGCAAGAAGGGGCCCCATCTGCGGCTTAGGAGATGGTCAGCATCCTCCCTCTACCATCCTGGAGAGGGTCCAGCAGGACGCAGTCCTCCCAGACTTCCCACCCAGCCAGGCAGGAGGGGGCCTAAGGGCAGAAAAGAGACTGAGGCAGAGCCAGGGACAGGGCAGATGCAGACCGAATGAGAGACAACGCTTTGCACATGAGACACAGCGGCAGAGGCTAAGATCCAGAGACAGGAGGTGTGTGTGTACACGCGCGCGCCTGTGTGAGCACATGCATATGTAACTGGAGAAAGCCGAGACTGGCAAAAGGAGGAGTGTTGGGACAAACTAGGCCTCCCAAAGATCAAGATCTGGTGAGTGGCTTCTGTCCCGGGCACTCTAGGCCCAGGTGTACCCCTGCCCCACCCACTACTACAGCACCCCTGTTTGGAACCCTGCCTGGGACTCTGCTTGGATGTCTGGCCTTGGCCTGGACAGCAGTGCTTCTACCTGCCTCTCTCCTCTTCGCTGTGCCTGCACACAAGTCCGTTTCCTGGCTTCTCTCTCCCTGGGTGTCACTATGTCTGTCCTTTCCCTGACCCTTGTTTTGTGTCTGTCTGTCGGTCACTGCTTCTTTGCATACGCCCCAGCTTGTCTGTTGGACTGCTAGTGCGAATGTATACATATGTGTGTGTGTGTGTGTGTGTGTGTGTGTATCTCTGTGAATGTTCTCCTCCTGGCTAAGGCAAGCTGGAGGGTACTCTGAGTGTCTGTACGCTCACTCCTATGTGTGTAGATCGAGCGTGTCCATGCGTGTGTGTTGGTGCACCTCTAGATGAGCACGTGTCTCTGTGCACGCTGGTCTCGGTGAATGTGTTTTGCTCTTCGTGCATGCTCAGCTCACTCTCCCTAAGTGTGGCTGGCCCTCTGCCGACATGCCTCGAGGCATGTGTGTTGGTGGCCGGGGCCTGGACTTGTTTCTCTCTTTGCCTGTCCCTATCTCTCACTGTCTAGGTGTGGCCAGGCCACCTCGGCCTCAGCCTCCGCGCATAGCAACAGCTGACAGCTGAAGACTCCCGGGGCAGGGAAGAGTCTAGCGGGAGGAGGGAGGGAGCTGAGGAAGAAACAGACAGAGGATGGGAACGGGGACCGGGCTGAGGACTGAGGACGGAGACAAGGACGGACGCCGACTGGGAAGGGGACAAGGATGGAGAAGAGCGGGTGGTGCGAGATGGGACAGCGAGAGGGAAGGGACGGAGACGACACCAAGAGGCTGGGCAGGCGACCCTGGAGGGGACTTCTGCCCAGCCCCCACGCAGGGCCCCGAGCCGCGCAGGGGTCAGCGGCGGGGTCGAGGGGCAAAGGTGAACGCCCAGGCCAGTGTCGCCCAGGGGCCCAGAGACCGCAGAGGTGCGGCGGGGCGGGGGCGGGGGCAGCGGGCGCCGTTTGTCAGCCTTATTGACAGACGTGATGGGGTTTCCGTCCGTGATCAATGATTCTCATCTCCGGGCCGAATGAGCCGCGGGGCGCCCATCCATCCCCGTCAGCGCCGCGCGTCGGCAGCCGCCCGAGGCCCCGCCTGCCCTCACCTCGGCCCGGAGCAGCGACGGGCCCTGGGCCACGGAGGGACCCGGCTCCTGCGGCGGCGCCGAGCCTGCCTGGGCTCCTGCTTCAGCCGCTGGGCCCCTTCGCGCGAACAGTCCCGGGGCGCAGAGCCCCTCGCCCTACCCGATCCTCGCCAAGCACAGACCCGGCCTCTCCGGGCCGCGGCCCCGGCGCCCGCCACCCTCCGCTTCGCACCTGGGCCAGGGGCGTGTCCGGGGCGTGTCGGGGTGAAAGTCACCTTCGGTGCCCCCAGCTGGGCGGGAGGGGGCGCGCGGGGCGCGGCCGGGATTGGAGCGCCGCGGAGCCCCGCCCCCCCGCCGCCCGAGTCAGACCCAACTTTCTCCCCCGCCCGCGCCCCGCCCCCAGCGCCGCGCGCTCCGCTCCGCTCGCTCAGTCCGCGGGCCGCGTCGCCCGCTCCGCAGCCTCCCTCCGCCCGGCAGCCCCGCGCCCCGCGCCCCGCGCCCAGTCAGGCAGCCCGGGACCCGCCCTGCCCGTCCCGCTCGGCAGCCCGGGAAGATGCGGATCCCGGAATGGCTTCTCTTGCTCTTTGGCCCGTGGCTCCTTAGGAAGGTAAGGGTGACAGGGCTGAAGCGCGAGCGCGGGGGTCCCGGACGCGAAGGTCCCGGAGCGCTAGGGGTTCCGTGCGCCTGCCCCGCCCCCAGCTCCGAGAGTCCCAACTTTGCGCGGCGCGGAGGGTGCGGACAGACAGACCGCCAGCTCCAGGACCCGCACTCTCCCAGCGCAAGTTGGCTGAGGGCTAGAGGGGGTGCCTGGTGGAGGCTCGGCTCGGATCAGGCTTTGGGAGCCGCGGGGGAGGGGACGAAGCGCGACCTGCGAGTGCGCCAGACAGAGCGGGAGTGCGAGACAGACAGACAAGCCAGCAGGGTGTCAGTCTTGCCGTCTTTCCGCGCCAACCTCGCTCGCCTTCCTCGGTGTCTGTCTGTCCTTCTACCCCTCCACCCCCGCCTTCCCATTTCTCTTCTCGGCACTTGTCACAATGCCAGGTGGGCTCTGTGTTCGGAGCTTACACGACCCAGGCACACACGCGCGCACCCAGACGAACACAGACACGATTGAACTTGGCTACAGTCTCCATCACATTTCCCGCGGAGACACCGTCTCCCCTGCACAACCTCAAGACACACCCCCTCTAGCGCCGGGCTGATGGGGAGGTGATAACCCGGATCGGATCGGGGGTCTCTCCTCCCTGCCCCCACCCCTCTCTGCTGCCTCTTTCCCTGAGGTTCCTGGGCGAGGACCCAGAGGCTAAGGGATCCCAGACGTGATCCTGCCATCCTCTCTACTTGGAAGCTTCGGCTAGTGTACACAGTGTGCTCCTGTGTGCTCCTGTGGAGTGTGTGGGTCAGTGTGTACCTGTGTGCATGCCTGTTAGGGAAGCCCAGGGTCGGTGTGGTGTTTAGGCCCGGGCCGGGCTGCGCGGTATGCTGCTGTGCCTTGGTGGTGACACTGGCTTTGCATGGGTGAGTGCAAGTGCCTGCTTCTGGGCGCGGCCATCTGTTCCTACCCTAGTATGTGTTCCACAATGGAGGCCCTCTGTCAGATGCCTCTCTTGCCCGGCTGTTTCCTGCACCTTAACTGTGGCCTAGTACTCAGAGGGCAACCCAGTAGCCCCCTAAATCCTCGTTCCCCACCCCTAGTCTCCAGGCCCTACAGAGTCCAGAAGGGATGTAGTTCCACCCCCAACACTTAGACCCCTGCTTTCCTACCCCAGTTGTCCTCAGTAACTCTAGCAGGGCAGGAGCTGCCCCAGTGAAGCTAGCCATAGAGCTGCTGATTCTTCCAGACCTGCCTGGTGACCTTGAGGGGCCAAAAGGTGGGCAGAAGAGCCCCCTCCCTGAAAACTGCTTCCACTGGCAAGAGCTTCTTTTGGACTTGCTGCCCAGCTCTACACTTAGGACACTCAGGAGAGGGTCTGGCCCAGCACCACCATGTATGAAGGCCTGAGGTCAAGAGGAGGTAGGGATGGCACCACCCTGCCTCTCCTTTCTCTCTCCTCTCCTTTCCTCTCCTCTCCTCTCTCCCATCAAATAAACTCCCCTGTGGACAGATCTGGTTTAATTTCCTTTGCCCCCTGAAGGGGAATGAAACATCTGGTGGAGACTTGAGGGAGAATGAGCGATGGGATCTATCCAAGTGTGTGTGAGAACTGCAGAGGTGGGGCCTCCGTGTTGAAGTCAGTGGGGGAGATCATATCTGGCATTCAGTCCAGCATGTGTACGTGTGAGAATCTGTGTTTATTTGTGATGAGTGTGTGTACGCACTGTGGGTGTGTGAATATGTATAACTAGGCACGGGGAAGTGTGTATAGAGAAGTGTCTGTGTGTTCAGATACCTGTGCATGCTGCTGTGTCCTCTTGTGAGTAGGGTGTGTGTGCACACATGTAGGCCCTAGGGGCTCTGGTATGTGTGTGTGGTGAGGTGCATGTGTTGTCTGTATGGGAGTCCGGGATTTGTGAATGTGCATCTGTGTGCTTGTGGTTTTGAGTGTAGCTGAATGTGTGTATGGGGTTGTGAGCCTCAGAATGTATTTAAAATCTGAGTGGCTTATGTGTGTTTGTGTATTCAGGGATATCTCCGTGTCAGTGTTGGGAGTGGGCAAAGGTGATGGTGACCCTTGGAGAGAGGCCCATGAGCAGAGTTCATAGGGTGGGTAACTCTTGAGAAACCCTAACCATCAGTGCTACCAGCCCTGCCTTCTTTACTTGCCCTTCCTGCAGAAGTTCTCTGCCACCTTCCTGCTTGCTCTAGGCTTCTGGTCTCTTCTCAGGGCCTGGAACTCCTGGTTTCCACTGTCTCTGGGGCTCTGGCCTCTCTGCCCTGGCTGCTTCAGGATCTTTCTAATACAGTCTGCTCATTTCCCTTTCTATCTCTGTCTCCCCCACTCCATGCCAAAGCAGCTGCCTACTGGGAGAAGCAGCAGGTGATCAATAGTCACTAATCACTAATCACTAATTACTAATTAGCTGGGGGAGGGCAGGGGTGGGGCCCTGTGGGACCTTTCAGCTCTATCCCGCCTCAGGGAAGGATTAGGCTCGAAGTGAGTGTCTCAGAGCTGGCTAGCTACTTCCCTGGTCCAGCCACTGCCTCCCACCTCCTTATCCTCCTTTAGCCCCCCAGCTAATCTCTGGCTTGGTCACTTAGGCACGCACAGTCTGGGCTAGGGCCCAGAGCTGCTGGAGGGGATTTGGGGGTAATCAGGGGCCGCAGCTGGGCCAGGGACTCAGGGAGGGGGTACAGTGACAGTTCCCTTGGGCCAGAGCCTGCAGCAGATGGGAGGGGCACCATTGGAAAGCAGAATTTAGAGTCGTGGGTTGGGGTGGGTGAGGAGCTAAAGGTGTGTGTGTGTGTGTGTGTGTGTGTGTGTGTGTGTGTGTGTGTAGAAGGAGAGAGAGAGAGATAATAGGACAGAAACAAGGTAAAGAGGGGCTACT